ACTGTGAGGCAGTGTGGCAGGTGCTACTGGCAGGGAACCCGGCTGCTGCCTCACAATTCCAGATGCCACTGCACGAAGTGAATTTGCATGAAATGCACGAAGATTCAGTGGAAACCGTCTGGATTGCCAGGTAGAATGCACAGAGGGGGAATGGAAAGTCCTTGGTCTATTGTTCTACTACAGTACGTTTGAGATCGTGTGTACACGTGGGCTGGATGGATTGGATCGGTCTCATTGTACCGCCATATGCCAGGCACATTTCGGAAACGACTTTTCAGGCGCCTTGTAAGTTGGATCGGTCTCATTGTACCGCCATATGCCAGGGGATTTTCGGCAACAGTGGCTGCTTCTCCCGTCGTCACAAGCTTGATGCGGCGCTGCTGCTACGCTTTGTTGGGCTGGGTGGATCACACTCGCTGTGTTTTCTGAGGTGCCTCGAAAGTCTTCTGCTGTTGAGGCGCCTCAAAAGTCGTCTGCTGGTAAGCTGGGTTGGGCTGGGTCGCACTCTCTCTGCTTTCTGCTGTGCCGACGCCTGCCGACCTTTGAGGCAGCTCAAAAAGCACTCGCTGCGTAACCTGCTGTGCCGTCACCTGCCACCTTCGCTGCGTACGTTGCTAATAGTGGCAGGCTTTCAGGGGAGCGAGAGGAGCGACGCGATGATGCATTAGTCGACAAAAATATGATACTTGCTGCGTTCTCTGCTGTGCCGTTGCCTGCTGCCGCAGCCGCTGTGTTCGTTGCTAGTAGAGGCAGGCTGCCAAGGGAGTGAGGGGAATGAGGGGAAGAGAGAATGTTAAGCGGAGAAGGTGCGGGCAGAGTGAGACGGGATGAGTTGGCAGGCTGAGGGGAGTGAGAGGCAGGAGGGGCGGATAGAGGGGATTGAAGAGAGGATTGGGGATAGAGGGGATTGAAGGGATTGGGGATTTAGGGGATTGTGGGGGGACGAGAGATGCGATGGATGGCAAGGTTGGTGCGAAGGGGAGGAGTCACGAGTCAGCCAGAGAGAGGTTCTTTTTGACGCGCCTCACAAGCGGGGAGGAGGACTTACGAGTCAGGCAGAGAGAGGTTCCCTAGGTGACATTTGGGTCGACTCAGAAGTCACCCCGTGGTCGATTCAATGGGGGAAGCAGTCATGATGAGTCAGGCAGAGAGGTTCACTTTCCTGCAAGCAAGTCCGGAGCAAGTTACGGGAAAGTGATGAGTACCTTGCGATTGATGAGCAAGGAGCAGATACCAACATGAGTATAGACTTTTAAGTCGACTCAAAAGTTTTGAGTCGACTCAGAAGAGCAAGTACCAAGATGAAAATTTTCAGTCAAGAATCAAAGCCCCCCACCCACGAAGCCCCAACCCACCCACCCACCCACCCACCCCACACCACACCACCCCCACCCACCAGCATGTGCCCTTCCACTTGGTCCCTTGGGCAATGACAGTAGCCTTGCATCCACATGCGTGCCTTGTTCATATTCACATACTCGATTGAAGCCTAGGAGGGGGGAGAAGGGGGAAAAAGGGTGGGTGAGGGGGTGGGGGTTGGGGTGGGGAGTGGATTGAGTGGAGGAAGCACGGCAGCTGGATCCAGTCGTTGTCACTCGCCTTGTTCATCTTCACGTGCTCCATCAAAGCCTAGGGAGGCGGAGGAGGAGAAAGAGGAAGGGGGAGGAGGTGTGTAGGGAGTGAGTGGGTTCAGCAGAAACAAACTGCAACTGAAACCAGTTGTTGTCTTGTCCCGCGCCTTGTTCATCTTTCACGTACTCGATCAAAGCCAGGGAGGGGGGAGTGGGGAGAACGGGGGGAAGTGGGGTGGGGGGGGGGGGGGGGGGGGGGGGGGGGGGAGGTTGTGTGGGTGTTTGGTCGAATGAAAACTAATGACAGCTGTAACCATCCAGTCGTTGTCCCGCGCCTTGTTCATGTTCACGTACTCGATTAAAGCCTGGGAGGGGGGAAGGAGGAGAAGGGGAAAGGGGTGGGGTGGGGAGGGGAGTGGGTCCAGAGGAGCCATTTAGTCGTTGCCCCGCGCCTTGCCCATTAGCGACTCCCCCCTGTGAGTCGACTCGAAAGTCGGCTCATTCCCCCTCCCCCCCCCCCCCCCCCTTGTGAATCGTCCTTATCACCCATATTAAACCGCGCCATCATGAGCCGGCGAGATGACTTTTGAGTCGACTCAAAAGTCATCTCGTGAACTGTCATTATAACCCATATTAAACCAGCGCCATCATGAACCGCCGGTTCCATTTGGTTCACCCGGGGCTCGTTCCGACCCACGTAAGCAAACACAACCACGTGGCATTGCCCTTACTACCGCACCTGTCCCCATTCAGTGTTTTATTTCACCCGCGACTTTTTGCTTCCACGTGGTCGCCTCGAGACTCGTTATGACGCATCTTCACCTAAATTGTCCCTCGTTCCGAGGCTCGTTCCGGGCTCGTTTCAACGCACTTGTAACTCCTCCTTGAGTCGCTGCTTCCATTGTTTCGCGACCCTGCATACGGTCAGAAGCGGGATATTCTGATCCGAACCGTGGATTAGGTCGTGTTATCCCAGCCGTCCATCGCGATCGTTCGATCTAAAGTCGGGGAATCAAGAAGCGAAAAAACTGACGGCATGAAGAAGAGAAGATGGTTGCTCAGGAAAAGCACTTTCTCGTTATTAACACACTATGCGCAAACATAACGAATCGTTACATCAACCAATGACTCTGGTTCACGCAAACTATTTGCTGCTTTTTCCTCTCCTGAATGTGTGACAGTATCCTGGGAGTGAACTCTCGTCTAGTAGCCTCCAGTGTCTGAGGAAGGACGAAGATCAGAATTTGGGGATCGAGCTTGTCGGGTGCTGCTGCCTGCATCTCTATTTGGGCTGCATCTCTTATCGGGGGGATGCATCTCTAATCTGGCTGCCCATTGGCATCTGTATCGCTACTTCCTATTGCCTTACATAGAGTATATCGAGGCCATTTATAGGCGGTCCTCCGCGTTGCCTGAATAACATATTTGAGAGATTCGTCGCAGACAGCGAGTGGACAAGGCTTTCGTGCTGCAAGCATCGCAATAAATCGCGAACGCTTCCAGGTTTACGTAACCTAGTTACTTTGCCACCTCTGAGCCTGGCAGGTCAGTTGTTGGTCGCGCAAATCTTCCGCAAGGCCCAGACACTTGTTCAGACCCAAGTGCTCCAACCACTCGCTTTGCGTGTCCTCACCTCACCCAACCCAACCCAACTCAAACCAGCTCAACCACAGCAACTCAACCCATCTCACTTCAACTCACCCGCCGTCCCTCAGTATTGGTGCCCCTCGCTTGTGGTGCCTCTTCTAAAGCGTTTTGAATGCCTGCCAATGCCAAGCCTGTATGTTGCTCGCGGTGCCGTCTCGTCCATTTGATTTGCCCATACTGCTGCTGTAGCTGCAGCCATTCATTTCATAGTTGTCACTCTGACGTCCTAACGACTCCACAATGACTGGCTCAGTGTTGACGGCAGCGAGAATATCTTATGGCACGTGTGGGTCATCATCCGACGTGGAAACTGCCATGACACTTATTGGGGGATGTCAAGCACTCACCTCCAGAACAACTTACCACCATCTTATCTCTTGAGAACTCAGTACGTATCGCCTCTATTCGTTCCCTTCTTGAGAGGTTCAAGTTTTAGGTTTCTGCTGGAAACGCATTTCAGGTTTCACTCTGAGCTTTATAGGTTTTGGCTCTCACATGGCGGACGTAGATTACTACCCTCGAGTCGCGCGTTCCGAACGCGCTCACGTTAGTATGACAGCATGCCTCCACCTGCTACTCCTCTACTGCTCACCGACGATAGCTTTCCAGCCCATATCGAAGCTGCCTGCTGCTCGCCGCGGACGAGAACTCTCCGCGCGGACAGTTCTGCCTCGCGCGGCGCAATATCTCGCTGCGCGGCCTGCGGAGAGAACACTATTCTACTATGATCCCTGCGTTGCAACCGACGCAGTGGGCGGAACCAGCAGTGACTCGTCACTGGTTTCGGCGGCGGACACGGCGGCTGTCACAGCGATTTTCACGGCCGCGCGGATACCTATCTTGGCGAACACGCCGAACGTGTGCACGTGGCCCGGCGTGTATTGCTGCACCGGCAGCGCTGTTACCATGCTAGACTTTTCGTACAACTTCAACTCTGTCGTGCCGGCCCCACCCACGCCTCGCCTTTGCAACCGTACTGCGCGCAAACCCGGCGGAAAGTTCCCCGCAACCCTCTCCGATTCTATCGGCCAGTTGACGGGTCTCACCGATCTCAATTTGGCGGGTCTCTGGCTTGCTGGCTCTGTCCCGCGATCGATTTCCCGGCTTACCAAACTCGATCTCTCCATCTTGAGGATAACTGCTTCTCTGGTCCTCTTCCTGTCGCCCTTTTTCGAGTGCCGACGCTTGGCTCTATAAGCGCCGCCCGAAATTTCTTCACCGGCGGGTTACCACAAGGCCTTGCTGCGTACGCGGCTGCGGTATCGACTCTTGATCTCGGGAATAATAGGCTGTCCGGGCCGATCCCTGCTGCCCTCGCGACGCTGCCGAATCTTGAATATATACGTTTGGACTCGAATCGGCTAACTGGAAATATCCCCCCTGCTCTGCTGAAGAAGTTTTATATTGATTTAAGTCGGAACCGCCTTTCCGGCGACCTGAGCGGGCAGCAAATAATGTCCACATACTTTCTCGTAAGCCGGAACAGGCTGACCGGCAACTTCAATTCGATCCGCTTCAGCCACGTGTTGTCACTTGAGGTTTCGCACAATTTATTTTCAGGCTCGTTTCCGCGAATCGTGTGCGATAGTAGGAGCGGCGTATCATCCGATTTCTCGCACAATCGCCTGACAGGAGCCGTTCCAGCAAACTGTTTCAAGTCCGGAAGTTCCTTTTCGACTGGCCTCTTTCTGAGCCACAACAATTTCTCGGGCAGCTTGCAGCCGTTTTCGAACCTGCCCACGGACATCACTGCTCTGGACCTAGGATTCAACAAGTTCACAGGGAGCATTCCCCCACGCCTCGCCAGTTTACCCCGGCTTGAATACTTGGACCTCGGGGCCAACGCTCTGACAGGTGAGCTGCACTGGAAAAACGCACATTGTTTTCTTCCATTGAGCTTTCTGTTGACTCCTCTTGTCCACTCGTCTTCTCTGCTTCCGCTTCCCCATCCCTCAGGCCCCATGAGTTAACTTCCTCCTTGATATCCCCCCTCTCCCCACCCCTCAGGCCCTATCCCCCCACCCCTCAGGCCCCATCCCCCCACCCTCAGGCCCCATCCCCGCCTTCTTTCTGCCAACCCATCTTCCTCAACCCCGCCTCCAACGCTGTCTCCAGCCCGCCCATCCCCCTCGCCTCCCCCTCCTGCTCCGTTTCTCCCCCCCGCCCCCCCCTCAACCTCCTCCCGACCCTGCACCCCCTTGCTGCCAACACGTCCCTGCTTAATTTGACTCTTCGTTCCTCCCTGCACTATCCTTGTGCTTGCTCCTACCTCCCATCCCCCACCCCTCAGGCCCCATCCCAGCCTTCTGCAAGGCCGGGCAACGGCTCACCTTCCTCAGTCTCGCCTACAACGCCCTCTCCGGCCCGCCCACCCCACTCTCCCCCCACTGCTCTGCCTCCCTCTCCTTCCTCTACCTCTCCTCCAACCGCCTCTCTGGCCCCATCCCCGCTACGATCAGCTCCTTTAAGCACCTAAGGCGCCTGCACCTCGACAATAACGCTCTCACGGGAGCGATCCCAGCCGGTGTGAGCAACATGAAACGGCTGCGAAAACTTTGGCTGTCGAATAACATGCTATCAGGTTCCATTCCTGTGGCTTGGCCGGCGAGGACACGGCAGGTGCTGCTGTCGGGAAATCGGCTGTCAGGGGCTGTTCTGGCTGCTCTGAGCAAGCTGAAAAAACACTCGTTCAAACCAGGGAACGGCCATTTGTGTGGGACCCCGCTGCCTGCTTGTGTTTAGAACCATTCGTGGTTGTGGTTAGATTGGAATCATACCTTACGATCCACCCCTGCTTACATACCGTAAATAAATATAATATACCGTAATACATGTACGGTAATATAATTATGTAACTCCTGTTTGAATGGTGCTGCTCTAAGCATGCTGCAGAGGGAGGGGCTCTTCCAAGCCAAGGAGCATCAGTTTGAGCAGAACAGCACTGCTCGCTTGCATCTGGGGGAACCCCTTCACCCCCACACCTCTCCCTAACCCCCTCAACCCGTACGGTACCCTCCCTTACAGTACCTGCGTTCTCAGACCAAAAGCAAACTTCATCGAGCAAAACCTGTGCTGGCTAGTTGTAAGGTGGAGATATGGCGCGTTGAAGTATCATAGAAAGATGTATCAACTTATAGAGGAGATATGGCGCGTTGAAGTATCATAGAAAGATGTATCAACTTATAGAAATTACACACACACAAAAGAAAACTGGAAACTAGTACCGGTAACCTCCACACAGGACTCCACGATTTCTTGGGAAAAGAAAAGAAAAAATCAAACAAGCAAGCAAACAAACAAAAACAGAGAAGCAAATCAGGTGTTTGTTTGTGCCGTCAGATCAGGGCAATTGAATATCTTAAGCTGCCCAATTGTATCCTGAAGCTGCAATAGGGCCAGAACTTTTCCCAGCACTTCTCCCCGCTGCTTCCCCCGCTGCTTCCCCCCGCTGCTTCTGCCGCTGCTTCCCCCGCTTCTTCCCCCCGCTGCTTCTGCCGCTGCTTCCCCCGCTGCTTCTGCCGCTGCTTCCCCCGCTGCTTCTGCCGCTGCTTCTGTCGATGCTTCCCCCGCTGCTTCTGCCGCTGCTTCTGCCGCTGCTTCCCCCGCTGCTTCTGCCGCTTCTTCTGCTGCGGCTTCTACCGCTGCTTCTGCCGCTGCTTCTGCCGCTGCTTCTGCCGCTGCTTCTACCGCTGCTGCTGCCGCTGCTTCTGCCCGTGCTTCTACCGCTGCTTCTGCCGCTGCTTCTGCCGCTGTGACCGATCCCCTTGCTCGCGCCATTGATGCTGCTGTTTCTCCCAACAATGCAGCACTTGCAGCCTTCTCTGAGTGTGCTACCGCACCAACCTCACCAGCACCAGCAACACCCACCATCACCACCACCAAAAGCAGCATCAGATCCCACCTCTCCACAGTTCTCCTCCGATTCTGCATTGTCCCCTTCCCCTCTAACCCAACCAATCCCCGCATTAATCTCCCTGGCCCACGTCCTGCCCTCCCCAACTGCCCCACCCTTCCCTTCTCTCCCTCCCCTTCCACCACTCTGCTCCTCCTGTCGCGCTCTCTCGTTCGGAATCAGGCCGCCCGAACCTCCATCAGGACCAAATGCCCAGCCCGGGCCTACACCGGACCTCCTCGCAGCCTCGAGCGGCAGCTCCAGGTTCGGAAGAACGCTGGAGCTGGCAGCTAGGGATGGCATGGTCCCCACAGCACAGGGCACTCAGTTAGCTGCAACCCTCCACCTCTTTCTGGGAAGGTTCTTCTCATCATAAAACCCTTTTTCCCACCTGCCCCATTTCCCCCACCTCCCTGCTGCCTCTACCTCCCCTCCCATTTTCCCAGCTTTCTGTTTCTGAACGTCCCCTTCCCTGTCTCTTCTTTTCCCCCTCTCGGCTTCCGTTCCATCGTTTTACCATTCCCTTTATTACTCGACCTGGTGCTAGTCTGTCCTGTCCCCACAACCGCAACCCCTCCTTTCCCCTTGCAACTAGCTCTCCTGAACCCTCACGTTCACCTTGCCAACTATAGCAGGACAGCTGCAGCAAGAAATTGATCCTCCTTCCCCCCTCTCCTCTCTCACTTCCCTCTCTCACTCTCCTCCCTCCCTCTCCTCTCTCTCTACCCTCCCTCACTGTCCCTGCTCACTCTCCTCCATCACCCTCCTTCTTTACTCTCCTCCATCCCTACTCTCCTTCCCTCACCTTCCTCCCTCACTCTCCTCCCCCCTTACTCTCCCTCCCTCACTTTTTGTCTCCTGTCCTTCTCTCCAACCACCATTCGCATCCATTGCGCTCACCTGAGTGCAATGTTCTTGTGCTTGAGGACCCCCCTGCCTGCCTGTGCTTCAAATCATCCTTTCCTAACCCCCTCCAGCCACCCTTTGCTCTCGGGCCACAAGCGAGCTTCATCAAGCAAAACTCTTGTACCGTGGTTGCAAGGAGGAAATCGGCGTACGGAAGCATGGTGTACTGTAGTGATGTCTCAAACCTTACAGGAATTACAAGAAGAAAGCAGAACTGCACCAAATCATTATCACAGTGTACGAGTACAAAATAATAATACGGCCGGTAATCCGGTGTCTGTGTGGTCAGATAAGGGCAACTGAATGTTTCAAAGCTGCCCAAAATATCCTGAAGCAGCAACAGGGTCACCACTTGCTATCGCACACACCTCACCTCAGCACCATCACCAGCACCACTACCAACAACAGCACCAGATCCCACCTCTCCTCCGTTTTCCTCTATTTCTGCATTGTCCCCTTCCCTTCTGACCCTTCTAACCCCATTAACCTCCCTGTAACTCGGCCTGTCTTCCCCAACCACCCCACCCTTGTGTTCTAAGAATTTCACTATAACCACCATTGGTTGGGAGGCTCCCGTATTGGTGCTGCAGTGTAGACACAGTTTTACCGGTATGTTTTCGTTTTCTAGTCGGCCAAAGAGTCACAACTGACACCACAGGTGGAAGGTTTCACAAGCGCCGCACATTCTGGGTTTCTCCAAGAAAGAGGCACCCAACCACGTCATTGAAAAAGCTGTTTGGTCGCAGCCATGTGGATTCATCTTCCTCCGCTTCTCCATTGCCATCCGAGCCGGTAGGCCTTGGGAAGATCCTCTTCATGTCGTACGTCACAGCACGCGTGCAGTCCGGGCAGTATGTTACCTGTATACGGCCACATGAATACAAAGTATGCACACATGCAATCTATGAAAATATGGGAGAATAGAACCATGATCGAATCACAAAATGTGGGGCACGAGAATGTGCAATAGCAGGAAAAGAGGGGATAGTTGCACGACAAACAGTTTGCAGTAAGATCAATAGAGAGATAGGCAGGAGGAGAAGTTTGCACGACTAACCTCCAGAAGCTTGGGTTGGAAGTGATCATCCAGCATCACATCCACACCGTAGATTGCTCGACAGGTGTCGTCATCTGGCTGCATCTCGGGATGAACAGTAACAGCAGCAGCCAGGAGCTCCCGCAGCATTCTCTGCACTGATTGGTCAATGGACTGCCACGTCACTGTAGTGGCAGGCATGCAAGTAGGACAGATGATATCATGGGCAGGTGGGTGGGGAAAGGAAGTTGGGATAGAGACAGGAAGTTGGGAACGGAAAGTCGGGAATTGAAGTTGAGAAAGGAAGGCAGAGGTAGGAAAGTTGGGTAAGGAAATGGGGGGATGGGAAGGGGGAAGAGGGTTGGGTGGGTTTTGAAGAGCAAAAGAAAAGGAGGGGAAGGATGCAAGCTCCTCACTAGCATGCATGTTTGTGTTTCAGGGGGCTATGTGCTAGTAGGTGGGCTGCTAAGGCACTGCATCTATCAACTGAATTTTGTCACCAAGTCACCCCTTACCTTTTGATTCGACTCAAAAGCAAACCCTGTCACCATGTCAATCCCCATCCACACCATGCCATGACCAGGGGACAACTCCCATACATACAACGCCATTTCCCATCCATGTCATGCCATCACCCATCCATACCGTTGTGTTCCTGCTCAAATGCATGCACAAACTCATGCGTGGGCACATGCTCGTACTTGTGGCCGCTGTAGTTCTGATGAGAGAGGGAGTATGGAAAGAGAGAAAGAGATAGGGGAGGGGGGGGGGGGAGGGTGGGTTGGGGGGAGGGAACAATGCATGCTTTTGAGAGTTCTCAAAAGCAGCTCAGATTTAGGAGGGAGGGAAGGATGCATGCCCGGAAACTGACAGAGGCACGTGCTCGCACTTGTGGCTGCAGTAGCTCGGATGAGAGGGGCATAAACATAAACACATATAAAAAAGCACATAGGAGTTTTGAGGCGCCTCAGAACTCGTAGTGCTGATGAGAGGGACATGTATGTATGTAGACACTTCGATACAGACAAAATTTTGATGAATCTTAAAGGATGTTGTAGTTCGATAAGGGGGGAGATATGAATGCAAGCACATAGATAGAAGCACAGAGGCAGTCGAAGACAAAGGGGTGCTGAAATGATATGGTGCTGACAGTCTTCAAACACTCGCACGAGCTCAGAGAGACAGACGAGGACGGTCAGCTGATCATGATGTGCCATGCATATAGCAGCACCACACCACACCATGATGTGCCATGCCTATAGCAGCACCACACCACACCATGATGTGCCATGCCTATAGCAGCACCACACCACACCGCACTACACCATACCATGACAGTGAAGTGTGTCTGGAAGTCCGACAGGGAGTCCTCTGCTTGAGAGTATGCCTTGTTGGCGATTCGCGCCTGGAGGTGCATGGGACACGCTTGAAGCATGCGACACACTTGAAGCATGCGCGGCACAGGAAGCACAGGGCGAGTCTTTTGAGCCGCTTCAGCAGTTACAAGTCTGAAAGGGAGTCCTCTGCTTGGGAGTGCACCTTGTTGGTGATGCGTGCCTGATGGTGCATGGGAGGGCGAGGAGGGGTGAATTGAATCATGCAAGCATGCAAGAAATGGGAGGTGCAGGGTGAAAATCTTGAGCCGCTTCAGCAGTCACAAGACTGAAACGGAGTCCTCTTCTTGGGAGTGCACCTTGTTGGTGATGCGTGCCTGATGGTGCATGGTAGGAGGGCGACACATGGAAGCATGTGAAGGGGAGGAGGTGTATGGTAAGACTTTCTAGCCTCTTCAGAGATCTAAAGCCTGACAGCGAGTCCTCTGCTTGGGAATATTCCTGGCTGGTGATGCATGCCTGGTGGGTGCAAGCAAGGAGGGGTGAGTCATGGAAGCATGCAAGGAATGGTAGGTGCCGGTTGAAAACATTGAGCAGCTTCGGAAGTCGAAAGTCTAAATGGGAGTTCTCTGCTTGTTGATACACCTTGTGAGACAACGAACGTGAAGAGCGAAGCAATCAACCAAGCAGCATGCGGCATTCCACCGGACTCGCTCACCCAGAACACATCCGATAAATACGCCCCCAGCAGCAGTCAGTCAAACCACTCACCCAGAACACATCGGAGAGATAAGCCTCCAACGGCTTGAGCAGCTTGAGCAGCAGCAGGAAGCGCAGGTCGAACTTCCCACACGCGGAAGAGCGCCGCAGCCAACAGTCAACAGGCAGCAAGCAAGCAGCAAACCACCCAGCCCACTCACCCAGAACACGTCCGACAAATAAGCCTCGAGGGGCCGCAGTCGCTTGAGCAGCATCAGGAAGCGCAGGTCGAACTGCCTCACTTTCCTCCCAGCCAACCACTCACCCAGAACACGTCCGATAGGTATGCCTCCAGGGGTCTCGGCCTCTTGAGCAGCATCAGGAAGCGCAGGTCGAACTTTCTGCCGTGGAAGAGCGCGGGGCGGGAGATGTACTTCTGACACACTTTAGGGCCGGTCTCTGCCAGCCGTACGATCTGCGCCAGGTAGCGCGCCACCGTTGCATCCATGCTGCGCGCAAGATTCCACGGCTTTAAGATCCACGTGTTGTCCACATCGGGGTCTGTGGGGTGGATAGGGAGGGCATGAGAGAGGTCTCAGAGGAGCCATGGCAAGAAGTTGGGAGCGTGCAGTGAGAGAGGAGAAAATGGGGCACCGACCGAGAAGCACCCGAGATTCCAGGGCTTTAAAATCCACGTGTTGTCCAAATCTGGGTCTGTGGGGTGAGAGGGGGGAAGGTGGGGGGTGCGGAAGAGAGTGGTCTCAGAGGAGCAATGCAAGGGGGGGACGAGAGCGCAGTGAGAGGGTGCGCATTCGTTCGCTTGCTCACTCACTCACTCACTAACTCACTCACTCACTAACTCACTCACTCACTCACTAACTCACTCACTCACTTACTCAATCACTCACTAACTCACTCACTCATTCACTCACTCACTCACTCACTCACTCACTCACTCACTCACTCACTCACTCACTCACTCAGTCACTCACTCACTCAATCAATCACTCAATCACTCATTCATTCATTCATTCATCTTACACGTCTCATCTTCATTCCTCTGAGGTGCCTCACTTCCCTCGTAGCTGGCAGTCACCTGCCTCCCTGCAGCAGTAGCAGCTGCCGCCTCCCTTTCCTTGGTACACCCTACGGCAATCAAGGTTCCCTGTCTTCATTGCTCCCAAGACCACGGCTCTCTCACCTTCTTTGTCCCCAGACGCTTCACTGCCCTCATAGCCGGCAATGAGTCGCCTGCCTGCAGTAGCAGCAGCCGCCGCCTCCCTTTGCTGGAAGCAACCAATCAATGCTGCCAGCTCCGACTGCATGTCGTACGTGTCCTGCAGCCAGGGGTGCGTGTTGCCGTATGCCTGCACGCAGGAGCAAGTGCAAGAGCAGAGCGACAGCAACGCAAGCACAGGCACGTAAGGGAGAGCATTCAGCACTCTACAGCCATGCAGCATCCTATCAGCGCTGCCAGCCAGCCTTGAGTGCATGTCATATGTGCCCCTGTAACTGCAAACTTGACTAGTGCCTGCATGGGGCTTGTGTTGTTGTATGTGTAGTATGCATGCATGAAAGAGCAGAGAGAAGCAAAGAAACCCACACACATGTGAGGGAGAGCACACTGCACCCTGTGCATAGCGCAGCTGCCAGCAGCAACTGCATGTCATATGTGTCCTGCAGCCAGGGGTGTATGTGCCTGCTAGACGGAAGAGCAGCAAAGAGTATCACACACATGTGGGGCAGCATTCGAGAAGGTGTGAATGAATGGGTGGTCTGCGAATGGGTGGTGCACACCACCCATTCGCACCACATCCCACCTGCTGTACTATCCTGGCCACATTGATCACAATGCATGCTTCCACTGACACAACAAGCAAACTAATAACCCTTTCTCCCTTGCCTAGCTTCCATGCTACCACTCTCCAACGCATCCCACCTGCTGTGTGGTCCTCGTCAGGTGGTGTTTCATCGCAACGCATGCCTCAACCGACTGTAGAATAAGCAAGTTGGTACCCATTCGCACCGCACCGCACCTGCTGGATGGTCCTCGCCAGGTGGTGTTTCATCACAATGCATGCCTCAAACGGGAACTGGTTCACAAACGGCTCTGGCTCTCCCTGCCCCCCCCCCTCTCCCCTCCGCCTTCTCCGCCCTCTCCGCCCCCCCCCTTCTCTCTGCCCATCCACCACCAATGCTTGCACTCCCATCCCACCTGCTGGATGGTCTTCAACATGTGGTGTTTCAACACAATGAATGCCTCACCCAATTGACCACCTTGTCGCACACCACCCATTCGCACAACACCCATTTGCACCGCACCGCACCTGCTGGATGGTCTTCGCCTGGTGGTGCTTCATCTCAATGCATGCTTCAAACGGGGACTGGTTCACAAACGGCTCTGGCTCTCCTTTGCCCCTCACTGCCCTGCTTGCTGCTCACCACCCATTTGCACCGCATCGCACCTGATGTATTGTCTTTGCCAGGTGGTGCTTCATCACAATGCATGCCTCAAATGGAAACTGGTTCACAAACGGCTCCTTCCCTCCATTGCCGCTCATCACCCACTTGCACCGCATCGCACCTGCTGGATGGTCTTTGCCAGGTGGTGCTTCATCACAATGCATGCCTCAAACGGAAACTGGTTCACAAATGGCTCCTTCCCTCCCTGCCCTCCCTTGCCGCTCATCACCCACTTGCACCGCATCCCACCTGCTGGATGGTCTTCGCCAGGTGGTGCTTCATCACAATGCATGCCTCAAACGGGAACTGGTTCACCAACGGCTCCTGCCCGCCCTTCTCCCGCCTCTTCTTCAGCCCAGCCGCCTCTCTGAATGCATCGTCCACCTGCATGCTCGTCCAGATGATGTCCGCCTCGCTGGGGGTGTCAACTGGGGGAGAGGGGGTGGGTGGGCGGGAGAGGGGGAAAGAAGAGAATAACCCTTAACAGCTCTTTATCCCCTCCCTTGCCTCTCTGAACGCATAAATGAACCTGCATGCTCGTCCATATGATGTCCGCCTCGCTGGGGGCGTCAACTGGAGCAGCCAAGGCATGGTGTGGCACCAAAAGAGTGCAGGCAACGCATTGCGCGAGGGAGAGAAAAAAGAGGGTGCCAACAGTGTGAATAAATAGTACGGAACCATGATGGTGAACGGAACATGTCAACAAGCAAACAAACAAAAAAGTAACAAAGCTTGATGCCCCTCCCTTCACTCGCTCCACAATAGCTGTTCCGGCTGATCACTCACCAAACATGAACTTCAGGCTTGTAGGTACTGATGAAGGTTCGCAAGAACCAAAACTAGTTTGCGCAAGTTCTGATTTTAAGCTGAAGATTTGTTCAAACTGGCTCTTTGAAACGCTCTTGCTCACTGTAAACCAGGCTCCTTCCGTCCATTCACTTGATCCACGGGGTTTGTTTCATCGTTCTATTCTAAGTCCTTCGCAGCCCACCTGTCCGTTACTGACAAACACGAACTCAAGGCAGGAGACGGTGTAAAGGACGTGGGGAAAATCCTTAAACACTCGATACACTCGCCTCCGGGGCTTGCTTGACCCTCCTCCTCTCTGTTTGCCCCACCCTCCCTCTGCTTGCACCAGACACTCACCAAACGTGAACTCGGGGCGGGAGAGTGTGTCAAGTACGTGAGGAAGATCGCTGAACACCCGATACACTCGCTTCCCTGCTTCCGGCTTCCCTGGCTCCTCTGGGTTCTCCGGTTTGCCTGTTGCTCCACCCGCCTCGCCTCCTTCTTCCTTGTCCTCCTTATTGTCGGACTCAGCACAAGCAAGGAGAGTGGTAGCCTCCGCATGCTTTGCAGCCGCTGCTGCGCTCGTAGGCCTGGGGTGGGGTGGGGTGGGGTGGAGTGGGGTGGAGTGGGATGCGGTGTGGGGTGAGATGCGGTGTGGGGCGAGATTAGGTGTGGGGTGAGATGAGGTGTGGGGTGAGATGAGGTGTGGGGTGAGATGAGTTGTGGGGTGAGAGGTGTGGGGTGAGATGAGGTGTGGGGTGAGATGAGGTGTGGGGTGAGATGAGGTGTGGGGTGAGATGAGGTGTGGGGTGCGATGAGGTGTGGGGTGAGATGAGGTGTGGGATGAGATGAGGTGTGGGGTGAGATGAGGTGTGGGGTGTGATGAGGTGTGGGGTGAGATGAGGTGTGGGGTGAGATGAGGTGTGGGGTGAGATGAGGTGTGGGGTGAGATGAGGTGTGGGGTGAGATGAGGTGTGGGGTGAGATGAGGTGTGGGGTGCGATGAGGTGTGGGGTAAGATGAGGTGTGGGGTGCGATGAGGTGTGGGGTGAGATGAGGTGTGGGGTGTGATGAGGTGTGGGGTGAGATGAGGTGTGGGGTGAGATGAGGTGTGGGGTGAGATGAGGTGTGGGGTGAGATGAGGTGAGGGGTGAGATGAGGTGTGGGGTGAGATGAGTTGTGTGGTGCGATGAGGTGTGGGGTGATATGAGGTGTGGGGTGAGATGAGGTGTGGGGTGAGATGAGGTGTGGGGTGAGATGAGGTGTGGGGTGAGATGAGGTGTAGGGTGAGATGATGTGTGGGGTGCGATGAGGTGTGGAGTGAGATGAGGTGTGGGGTGAGATGAGGTGTGGGGTGAGATGAGGTGTGGGGTGAGATGAGGTGTGGGGTGAGATGAGGTGTGGGGTGCGATGAGGTGTGGGGTGAGATGAGGTTGCGGAACGGGAGCTAGATTACGGGCTAGGCACGGGTGCTCGTGTGATCTCTGCATTCGTTGGTCCTTAGTTGTTTTCCTAGTGCACACACTGCTTGCTAGTTCACGGGGCAAGTTGGCAAGAGTTTCACTAGAGAAAGGTTGACAACAATGGTACAATCAGGTTGGCAAGACAAGACTACATCAGAGCTAGCATTCAGGGCGGTCCACTGCCAGCGCAGCATGGCCGACCGCGTTCCAGCACGACTTGGTCGACCGCGTTCCAGCAGTGCAAAGTCGACGGCGTGCCAACGCTGCAGGTCGACGGCGTGCCAGCGTTGCTCCCGCCGAACAGCAGCGCACCAGCTTCGCAGGTGCTCGCAGATGATTGGCGTGCTGAGCCTCGTCACCTGCACAACGCACACACCAAGTCATCCTCGTGCTGACGACTCCACCTGACCCGCCACGTCGACCTCGGGATACCACCACCGAGGTCAGTCTCGCCAACATCGCCTGGGCGACCGTTGCACTCCTCTGCAGAACCTCGTCACCCAGGTAACCTGGTCGACCGGGCAACCACGTCGACCAGCTGCTCCTGTATGTGCCCGTCGACCTCCCAAGTCGACGGCCACCTCCAGTCGACCTCACCAGGTCGACCACACCCCTGGTCGACCAGCTCCACGTCGACCAGCACAGTCGTCAGCCGACCACCCAAGTCGGCTACCCGAAGTCGGCGTCACCAAGTCGACGCCCCTTCTACGTCGGCGCCGACTTCGAGGCCGACCTCTTGAAGTCGGCGACCTCCCAAGTCGGTGACCTTGCAAGTCGGCGACCTTGCAAGTCGGCGACCTTGCAATTCGGCGACCTTGCAAGTCGGCGCCGACTTCCAGGTCGACGTGCCACATCGCCGACCACCAGTTGAAGTCGGCCGCCGGCTTCCCAAGTCGGCGGCATTGCAGTGGCCCTAAGTTGCCAAATACGCTTATAGCGTATGTAGGCGTATCGTATATACGCTAGCGTATATACGCTATCCGCTTAGGGGGCGATTTGGACATACGCTTTTTGGGGCAGGGAAAAAACTTTCCCGGGCACGGAAAAAAAACCGCCCGGGCTATTATAGGGGGGGGGGATCTAAGGGGTTATGTTTCAGAGGTAAGTTTTTCCCCATAATAACTGAAATCGGGTTAAGATACAGAGTTCGTAGGCTATAGACTGCAATAGCGTTGCGCGAATCTGCTCTTCTTTGGGCTCGCAAACACAAGGCATGATTGCTTTAGTGTAGGAGGAGGCGTAGGAGAGATCCTGGACAGGGAAACCTAGGTCTAAGTTGAAATTCGTACCCCACACCCATCGCCAATGTTGCCTCCAACCAATTCCCCCCTCCCATCACCTACCTTCACCGCATTGCATCTATCTCATCCAACCAATTTGATATTTGAAATTTGTACAGTCGTCACTTCCAGTCCAGATCTACAAGACATTGATCTAGGGAGAGTCTTTCCCCCCATCCCTTCTGCGGGAAGAACCTTCGATCCGCGCGGATCTGCGGGGAAATTGACGATCAGCGCGGAAATTGCCGTTCACTCTTGCACAAATCGCGGACGTGAATTTCGACGGTGGCAAAATGCTCGTCGTGCAATTCCGCATCTTTCCGTATATTCACATTTTTTTCGGTCGGGCTGCCCCCAAAAAAAATGGCCAGCGTATAGCGTATTCGCTTGCGTTTAGCGTTTAGCGTTTACACGCTAGTGTATATCCGCTAAACGCAAAGTGCCCTGAGCGTATTTGGCAACTTAGCAGTGGCCCCGTGCAAGTCGACCAACCCCGACGACCAGCTCGCCCAAGTCGGCGTCGCCCACTGGTGTAAGTCGGCTGTTCCTCCCGTACACCCAATCACGAAGTCGGCTCCGCCCAAGCGAGGACGGGGCCAACAACAACTCCCGTTGACAGAGGTGTGGGGTGTGATGAGGTGTGGGGTGAGATGAGGTGTGGGGTGAGATGAGGTGTGGGGTGAGATGAGGTGTGGGGTGAGATGAGGTGAGGGGTGAGATGAGGTGTGGGGTGAGATGAGTTGTGTGGTGCGATGAGGTGTGGGGTGAGATGAGGTGTGGGGTGAGATGAGGTGTGGGGTGAGATGAGGTGTGAGGTGAGATGAGGTGTGGGGTGAGATGAGGTGTGGGGTGAGATGAGGTGTGGGGTGCGATGAGGTGTGGGGTGAGATGAGGTGTGGGGTGAGATGAGGTGTGGGGTGAGATGAGGTGTGGGGTGAGATGAGGTGTGGGGTTAGATGAGGTGTGGGGTGAGATGAGGTGTGGGGTGAGATGAGGTGTGGGGTGAGATGATGTGTGGGGTGAGATGAGGTGTTGGGTGAGATGAGGTGTGGGGTGCGATGAGGTGTGGGGTGAGATGAGGTGTGGGGTGCGATGAGGTGTGGGGTGAGATGAGGTGTGGGGTGAAATGAGGTGTGGGGTGCGATGAGGTGTGGGGTGAGATGAGGTGTGGGGTGAGATGAGGTGTGGGGTGCGATGAGGTGTGGGGTGAGATGAGGTGTGGGGTGCGATGAGGTGTGGGGTGCGATGAGGTGTGGGGTGCGATGAGGTGTGGGGTGCGATGGTCCATGCTGCCCTTTGAATCGACTAGAATGCATGTGGACGTGTGGGCGTTTGGTGGACCGCTGCTGCTCGCATGGAGTAACATAAGCTTGCTGAGAGGAGAGAGAGGCAATACACTCAAAAGTCACTTGCTGGAAGTAGCTCGAGGGAGTGTGGTGAGATGGGGTGTGGGATGTGTGGTGTGGAATCCCACGAATAGCTTGGCCGATGCTGGCATTGACAGAGACTAAAGAATGGAGAGAAGAGTCGGCATACTTGTTGGAAGGCGCTTGAGGGCGTGTGGAACTACACGGACAGCTTGGCTGAGCGCTGCTGCTGTCCGTAAGTTAATGTTCGAGGGAGGAAAGGTAGCTTGAGAGTTGAGGAAGGAGCATACTTCGTGGAAGCAGGAGGAGGGCGTGTGGAAGCACACGGACAGCTTGGCTGAGCGCTGCTGCTCCTCTCCCACCCCGGCGAGATAGTCCCTCGTGCACTCCTCCCCTGGCTGCACTGCTGCCAGCGGCCACACCAGCGAGTAGCTGATGGGGTGGAGGTCACGGAGGGAGGGGCAGGGCAGGGCCAGGGCGGGCAGAAAGAGGGGTAGTGTGTGAGAATGTCTGGACTGCTGACTTTCAGAATCTGTGGTAAATCCCCCCCCCCCCCCCCCCCCCCCCCCCCCCCCCCCCCAATCCCGGCAAGATAGTCCCTCGTGCACCCCTCTCCCGCCTGCACTGCTGCCAGCGGCCACACGAGTGAGTAGCTGGAGGGGGCAAGGAGGGACGGCATGGGTGACAGAACAGAGAGGGGAAGGGCGACCCACCTGAAAAAAACTCACAGAAAAACACCTGACAGCACACCCAACCTGACAGCACACACACCTGAGAGCAGAGGCGAAGGAGTCGTCTGACAAGAAGAGGAAGGGCGCACAGCGGAAGTTGGGTCGGTCGCTGTGACGGAAGGCACTGCCAAACTCGTCCATCACGTACCTGATGGGTGTCGGGAGGGGAGTGGTGGGAGCGGGGGGAATGCGGGGAGTGAGGGGGATATGTGGGGTTGGAGTGGAATGTGTGATGAGTGTGTAGGGGGGGAGGAGTGAGGGGGGGGGGGGGAAGTGAAGGGGTTGGGGGGAGAGAGGGGAAGAAGGGGTGTAAGGGTGGAAAAAGGACTTGGCGGGAGATGGGGATAAGGCATAACATATTCTTGCATGGAAAGAGGATAAGGAACTCATGGTGTGCACCACTCGGTCTGCTGGATGGATACTGCACCACAGGCACGCAGCATCCATCCAGCAGACCAAGTCAGTGCTCGGCTCGGTCACTTGGAGTGTTGGACTAGCTGAAGTGTGAAAGACAGAACAAGGAATGACTAGAAACATGACAGTACAAGGTTTGTATAGGCAAAACCTAGCAATACTGTACCCCAAAATGAGTGCCCCACTATAGCCTACAATATAGTTCTGACACACCCCCATAGGCAAAGTGGGGGACAAGCAAGAGAACAAGGCAATGGCAAGCTCAGGGTGGATCACGACGTCACCACGCATTCTGAGCACAAGTACAAGGCCACAAGGCCAGTTCACATGCAGAGTTGTATATCAAGGTGAACAAGCAAGACAGTGATCTCAACCTAGCAAGGGTAAGCATGCAGGTGCAGGTATCTATAGATCACAGTACAAGCAAAGTCAAGAAGTGAGCAAGTGAGGCCAAGTAGGCACAAGACCTAGCATAGTACAAAAGCGCTGATGATCACAAGGCTGAAGTGCCTTGGTAAAGATATCAGAAGTGTTGGCCCGAGTGGCCACGTAAGCAAGACGAAGCTGACCACGCTGCTGCAACTCTCGAGCAAGGAAGTAGCGCAGAGCAATGTGCTTCGTTCTGTGCTCCAGTCTGTGCTCCTGACACAAGGCCAGCATGGCCTTGTTGTCAACGTACAGAACTGGAGGAGAACAAGGCGGCTCTCCCAAGTCGGTCAGCAGGTAGGTGGGTCAGCGTAACTCCTGTGCAGCCATGGCCCCAGCGTAGATCTCAGCCTCACAACTGGAGCTGAGAACAGAGGACGAGCGGGTAGACCGCCACGAAACAGAGCCGGAACCAAGGCTGAAGGTGTAACCCTGTGACGACCGCTGCGTAGCCAAGTCGTCAACCCAAGAGGCGTCTGCGTGACCAGTGAGGACAACTCGAGCTGGTCCTCCAAGCACGAGCCCCATGCCCGACGTACTGCACAGGTAGCGCAACACACTCTTAGCTGCATCCATGTGCTCTGGTCGGTGTCTCCCAGGAGCAACATAGCGTGCCAAGATGCTAAGAGGGTATGCCAGGTCAGGTCGAGTGCAGGTCATCAGGTACATGAGGCAGCCAACAAGCTCTGGGTACGGGCCACTCGGCTCTACGGACTCATCCGAAGGCAGAGCTGAGAGCGAGTGGCGAGTAGACAGAGGAGTGGCCTGAGGCGAGGAGTACGTGAAGTTGAAGCGCTGAAGGACCTGCTGCACCATGTGTGACTGAGTCAAGATAATGGTGCGCCGTGCTCTGTCCCGGGTGATCTGCAAGCCAAGATAGCTGCGCAGCTCACCCAGGTCTGTGCACGTGTGTCTCTTCTGCAGCTCCAACTTCACGTGGGCCAGTCCAGCAGTGTCAGCAGTAGCAAAGACCAAGTCGTCGACGTACACGAGGATGTAGAACGGCGGCAGAGTAGTGTCGGTGCGGAGAAACAGCGACGTGTCAGCAGTGGAAGGAGCAAAGCCAAGAGCCGCAAGCGTAGTCCTCAGTGTGTCGTGCCACTCACGGGGCGCCTGGCGGAGACCGTAGACTGGCCGCCGGAGGCTCCACTGGGTACCAGGAGGGAACGACCCAGTGAAGCCAGGTGGGCAGCGCAGCCAGATCTCCTCGTGCAGGCTGCCCTGTAGGAAGGCTGTGCTGAAGTCAAGAGAGTGCAGCTCGTAGTCACGCTGAGCAGCTACGTGCAGCAGTACCCGAAGAGTGGTCATCTTCGGGGTGGGAGAGAAGGTCTGAAAGTAGTCAACTCCCTGCCGCTGACTGAAGCCTCTAGCCACGTAACGCGCCTTGAAGACAGGCGGAGAACCCGGCGGCCGCTTCACCCTGAAAATCCACATGCCATCGACAATGTTCGCCCCAGGTGGGGGAACCTCGTCGACGTAGGTGCCTGTGGACTTCCAGGAAGCCATCTCTGCGTCCATGGCTGTCTGCCACTGAGAGGAGTAGGGACCCTCTATCGCCTCTGCGTAAGAGCGCTGGGTCGGGATGTCTGGTGCATCCGGGTCTCCCTCAGGGGCAAGCAGCATGGACACGAGATGAGGTAAAGCAGCAGCAAAACACTGGAACTCCTCCTGCCTGTCCTCAAGGACGTCCGTGCTAAGAGCACACTCACCCCCGACGGACGGAGGACAGACAGACTCAAACTCAGCAACAAGACTAGCGGCGTAGTCTAGACGACAGTGAGCAGCAAAGTCGACAAGCTCAGCAACTAAGGCAGACGCAGCAGTGGACTCAAAGGAAGGGTCAGTGACAACAGTGGCCAGGAGACGCGTGACAGTAGGACTAGCAGCACGAAGGGAGTCAGACACCGGGTCAGCAAGGGCAGGAAGAGAGGACGCAGGAGGAGACGGCAGAGGGACACGCTGTGGAGCAGTGGAAGGACGCAGAGCCATCTGGTGCGTGCCAGGGACAGGAGGAGGACGCTCACGCGGAGCACGACTACCAGTGCGAACAACGCGAACAGGCGACGCAGGACGAGACTCAGGCTCACGACGCTCCGTAAGACCTCCTGTCGGACCAAAGTAAGGAGAAGGACCAGGCAGTGGTGAGGCCGGCTGTAACTGTGACTCGGACTGGACAGGCTGTGGACACTCTACGGAAGGAGCAGGACCAGTAGAAGGCGGGAGACCAAGAACCTGCTTAAGGAGCGGAACGAAGTACGTCCGCGGCCGCGCAGCGCCTCCAGAACCAGCAGGGACAGCACCAGCACCCCCAGCGTCAGCTCCAACTCCTGCAGCACCAACAGCTCCAGCAGCACCTCCAGCAGCTCCAGTAGCGCCAACTCCAGCACCCCCAGGAGCACCGGCTCCAGCAGCACCTCCAGCTCCAGCACCTCCAGCTCCAGCACCTCCAGCAGCTCCAGCTCCAGCAGGACCACCAATAGCCCCAGCAGCCCCAGCAGCGCCAGGGCCAGCACCTCCAGTAGTACCGCCAGCTCCAGCACCTCCAGCAGCTCCAGCCCCAGCAGCTCCAGTACCTCCAGTGTGAGCACCTCCGGGACCAGTGGCTCCAGAACCCCCAGCAGCTCCAGCAGCAGCTGGACCTCCAGCGCCCGTAGCACCACCAGCTCCAGCAGCACGGCTCCAGCGGCGAGCAAACCACTGGGGCATATCACGTTTTTCTTCTTTTTGGCAAGAGTACACGTGTAAGCATCACGGTTTCCGTAGCCCTGGGGCAAGGTTCGCGCTCTGTGTATCCGGATTCAGGTGCGGGGACAATGTCTGAAGAGGAAGAAGAGGAGGATGAAGAGGAGGAAATGGACGAGGAAGATGAATACCGAGAGGAGGAGGAGGAGGAGGAGGAGGAGGAGGAGGAGGAGGAGGAGGAGGAGGAGGAGGAGGAGGAGGTGGTGGTTGTGGAGGAAGAGGAGGAAGAGGAGGAGGTGGTGGTGGTGGTGGAGGAAGAGGAAGAGGAAGAGGAAGAGGAAGAGGAAGAGGAAGAGGAAGAGGAAGAGGAGGAGGAGGAGGAGGAGGAGGAGGAGGAGGAGGAGGAGGAGGAGGTGGTGGTGCTGGAGGAGGAAGAAGAGGAAGAGGAGGGAGGAGCAGAGGAGGCTGGAGCGAATCAGCTCGACATAGGGCGAACCAACAAGGCCAAGGCAGGTAAACGTCGCGGCAAGAAGCGCAGTGGCAAGAAAACCCCGTTGTCCTCCTTCCTTTTGCCGGCACGTGGCACCTTCAACGACCGGGGCAATCAGCAACGGACAGCAGCGCGCAGGGAGAAGGCAATGCCAGCAGCAATGCAGCATCTTGTGTATGAGGTGGGGCTCATGATGGTCCAAGGCCTCATGACGCCTCTCAGTGTGCTCACGGAACAGCTGCTGGCTAACCGAGGCTTGGTTCAGGGCTTGACCCAGGACTTGCACCAGGACTTGAACCGGGACTTGAACCGGGACTTGAACCAGGACTTGAACCAGGACTCGAACGGGGGACGTTTGAGATGTCTCAATAACCGGGGCTTGAGCCGGGCGGATGTTGATGCCTGCGTTGGGGAAATGGGGTGGAAGCGGAAGCGCAGAAGGGGTGGTGGTGGGGGGGGAGAGGAACGAGGGATGGGCGTGAGAGGGGGTGATAGGGTTGTGGAGGCTGGTGGTGGAGTGGGGGGTGGTGATGCTGATGCAGCAGGGGAGAAGAGCACTGGTAAGAACAGGAGAGCTGGCAAGCGCAAGTCGGAAAGCGTGGGTATTGTGGTGGCAGGAGAGAAGCGGAGCGCTTCGAAGAGGCTCCAGGGCGGGGTGGGAGAGATGGTGGATATGGAATGGAACGAACTGACTGCCTTCGTCAACCGTCGCTACTCGGGCGGATCTCAGGCAGAGGAGGGAGGAGCTGCTTCACCTCCAGGGCTTTGACTGGGCAACATGAGACGGGGCTGCGGAAGAGTGTTGGCAAGAAGAAGAGTGCTGGGAAGCGCAGGTTTGAAAACATGGTGGCGGGAGAGAACAGGAGCGCTTTGAAGAGGCTCCGGGGCGGGGTGGGAGAGTTGGTGGATATGGAATGGAACGAACTGACTGCTTTTGCCAACCGTCGCTACTCAGGCGCATCTCAGGCAGAGGAGGGAGGAGCTGCTTCACCTCCAGGGCTTTGAGTGGGCCTCCAGGGAAGGGCTGTGGACGAGGAGAGGAGGAAGGCTGATGAAGGGGAGAGGAGGATGGCTGAGGAAGAGGAAGAGAGGATGGATTAGAAAGTGGGTTGAGCTGGAGGAGGTTGAAAGAGGAGGCAGCGAAGGATGGATAGTAAGGGGGTGTGAGGGTGACTAGGGAGAGTGTCGGCGAGAGGGGTGCAGATTAGGGGTCAGATGGGGTTGCTGTGAATGCCATGATGGGATGAGGGAGGTGGGGAATAGGATTGGGAGAGGTGATGTCGGGGGTAGTGGGGGTAGTGGTGATGGTGGTGGTTTGGAGGATCATGGTGTGGAGGAGAGATAGGTGGATGGGTAAGGATGTTGAAATCTGATGGTGCTTATTGTTTCTTTCACCTGCTCGAGGCATGGTGCTTAATTGTTGCCCTTTTCTTGTAAATATGATTGCTGAAAAAACATTCCTGACGTGGCAAGCAACACTACCTACTACCAGTGCTGAAAGAGGGAAATGTTCTGTTTTTTCCCCCATCAACCATTTAAGGATTTTTATAAGATATCACTAGATGGAAGGGTTCACATCAGAGACGCCTCACATTGCGGGTTTCTCCAAGGAAGAGGCACCCAAACAAATCGTTGAAAAAGCTCTTTGGTCGCAGCCACGCGGATTCATCTTCCACTTCTCCTTTGCCATCTGAGCCGGCGCCAGTAGGTCTTGGGAGAATCCTCTTCATGTCGT